ATGAAACTAACATAGCCGAATAGTTTGACACAATTACTCACCTGTTGGCAGGAATTTCAATCTTGTAGATGATTTCTTCATCATCATCAGCTTCTTCGTCGATGTGTTTTTCTTTCCTGATTATTGCCTTCTCAGTTGTCTGATCAGATGCAAAAACGAATGAATCAGAGGAAGAGAAACAAAAAAAATCTAAAATCACAACAAAACCCAGAAAATCTACTCACCACATCATCAAGCTCGATGCCAAAACGGAAACAGAGATCCTCGAATTCTTCCTGAGCTACACAATTTCAAATTGAAAGAGAGCGAAATCAGAATACGACGATGAATCGATCGAGGAAAGAAGAAGAAAGAGGAAGAAATTGATTTACTGTAAGATTCTCCAAGAGCAGCGAACAAACGGTCTCTGCCAATACTGATGGTAGGCATTCTCGTCGGATTTGTCAAAGGACGACGAGAAACGAGAAAACGCTAGTTCTGAGCGCAGTCGTTGGACTAGGGTTTTCTAAGAGCTGAAGAAGATGATGAGGCGCTGTTACACGTGAAAACTAAAAGCAAAACCCTGGCCAATGGGAATTAAAAGAATTTTATATTTATTTTTCATTGAGTGAATTAGCCAAATATACAGAAAGAAAACTGAAATTAGCCAATTTTTCATCGAAGATATTAACATTAGAGGCACTTTCTTGCCAAATAATAAGCAAAAAAGACATTTTCCTACATCTAGACACTTTCTTTCAACAAATGTACATGACTTGCCTTTATTACCCCTAACCATACCACTTTTGGGGTTGAGTTAAGTAATAAAATTTATTGTTTTGACAAAAAAAGTAGCTTTTACATCCATCATCTGCCGTCCATATGGCATCTCGAAGAAGCAAATCGTGTGGTTCACATAAACCGTTTTTCTGATTGGATAGTCCTTCACCGTACAATTATCATCTCACGGCTTAGATTTTGAGACATAAAAAAATCTTATTGAATTTGACGGACGAAATACAAAGTGTTACACATCTCGGAACATCTCTGTCTGCACCGAAATTAATAGACGGTGAAGTGGAGGTTTGAGTTAGGGTTTATAGAGACCGGCAACGAGTTATGTTGACTCATTGTTTGGTGGTTTCCGACGAATGGCGTTGTTCAGCTTCTGGCGAGTTTGATTTCATTATCGACAAATCACTCTTGTCTCGAATGATTCCATTGAAGGAATCCTCTGTTTTGTCAGACCTGAAAGAACGAGCTCTACTTGAGTTCGGGTTAAGTGGAGAGAGCTTCAATGTCTGCTTCAGCTACTGGGTTGATTCGCCTATGCCATTGGGTTTAAAAACTCCACTTGTGTTGCTTAATAGCGATGGAGCTTTAAGCTATTTCTTACGCATTCTTTCTCAGAATCCTTCCATGAACCTTTTTGTTACTTTCGCTGCTGAGAGGAACAAATGCTCCGCTCGGGCCGTCGAAGATGTCAATACCGTAAAGACACCTGCTTTTTCTAAACGGCGGTCAATGGTTGAAGTTGAACCAATTCCGGTGGATGATGTTGGAAGCTTTAAAACACCAAAAGCTTTCAAGACACCAAACAATATCCATGAGTCACGGGTCAGTGTTTCAACAAGGCAACTCAAGTGGAAAAGAAGATTTCTGGAGAGATGACCTATTTGGAGGCACTGGAACACCATCAACGTTTACTGGTAACTGGAGGGAGGATCTTTTTGGAGCTGCTAAGGAAAAGGATCAATCAGTTCCTATTGTTGATTCTTTTGGATCTCAGACTAATAGTTTAGATGATGAGATCTTTATTGCTCATGCCTGTGATGTGGAAGCTAAGCTGCTTAGTTCCAAAGATAAAGGGAAAGCTCATGAGGTTTTTTCTGATTCAGAAAGCGAAAGTAACGAATCTGATGTATGTGACGTTGAGGTGAGGCCTGCAGGTTATGATAGAGATTTATGGAGTCCATTAATTAATGATGTTTATGGTGGTTCAAACGTTGTTGAGAAATTGTGCCCTACCAAACCACGATCACGTGAGTATATGTGTACCACAAATGATGCGTTTGATCATCGTGTTATCTCACCTAGTAGTTCCAATCCGCAATCTACTCATTACAACAAAAAGGTTGGTACCGCGTTTCGACCAGGTGGTAATCATTCTATGGACAGTTAGGGTATG